TTCTGGCTTGGGGATTTGACTTTGGAAATCAGCCCCGTTTGGGGTTTCATTTCTCCTCTTTATTTTGTTTTCTGTAGGTGGCAAACAGGAGCAGAAACCGGGGAAGCCTCTGCCTGAGAAAAAGTAAGGAATTGCCACTTGTGCTTGATTTTTATTTATTTACTATTTATTTATTTATTTATTTATTTATTTATTTTTATTTTATTTTTATTTATTTTTCTTAATAAATTTATTTTTAATTAGCAATGCTTTGTATGAGATTTAATAGATATGGTATAAACTTGGTTATCTAACAGTAAATAAAAGGAATAAATTGGCCAAAATACAACCCAGCAGTACAGAGGCCTTCTAAGAACTGAATAAATTTATCTTGAGCATCTAAAACAGTGGGGGCAGGATATTTTTCATTATTAATTGCCATTATTAATGAATTAATTTCTAAATATATAAATTAAGTCATTCAATTCCACTCCATTTTGTAGAAAATGTGGTTTTTTGGTTGTTACTGTGTTTTTGCACAAGTTTGGGCTGTGTAATTTAGAGTTGTAAAAAAATGACTGGTGAAATTTTTTCGATATCTTGATGGAATTACACCTCAAAGCGGGGCCAATTGGAATTAATCTGCTTAATATGGTGTGAACTTGGTTATTTCTCAATAAATAAAAGGAATAAATTGATCAGGATGCAGCCCAGGAGTACAGGGGACTTCTAAGAACTGAATAAATCTATCTTGAGCATCCAAAGCAGTGGGGGTGGGGTATTTTTCATTATTAATTGCCATTAGTAATTACTTAATTGCCGTTATTAATTATTTAATTTTTAAATTTATAAGTGTAGTCATTCAATTCCACTCCATTTTGTAGAAAATGTGGTTTTTTGGTTGTTACTGTGTTTTTGCACAAATTTGGGCTGTGTAATTTAGAGTTGTAAAAAAATGACTGATGAAATTTTTTCGATATCTTGATGGAATTACACCTCAAAGAGGGGCCAATTTCTTTTATAAATCACCTTTTCCTTGTCCCGTGTGTTTTAAATATGGAGAAAAACACTGGGAAATTCTCTCTTTTTACCCATCAGAAGCTGCAGCCCTTCCAAATCTCCCTTGATCACCTCCCAGGAGCAAAAAAAAGGAGAAAATGAGGAGAAGGAATCAAAATGTGCTTTAGTCACCTCCCAGGAGCAAAAAGAAGAAGAGGATGGGAAGGGAGCCCAGGCTGACCCCAAATTTCATCCTGGTCCCCAAAAACACAAAACCGAGGTACAGCTGGATTTTTGGGATTCCCAGTGGCTCCATCCCCACCTGCAGAATGTGCAGAATTGGGGCTTTTCCTTGGGATATTTCACTGTCAAAAATTTTCTGGCCCAGAATTTTTATTTTTTTTATTTATTTTTATTTTCCACCCCAGAAATTAGGATTTAAAGGAGGTGGGAGGAGGAGATGGCCAGTGTCAGGTTTTTATATTAATTAGGAATTTCAGGAAATAATTTTAAGGAAATAATTTCAGGAAATAATTTTAAGGAAATAATTTCAGGAAATAATTTTGAATTTTTAGTGTTTTTCCTCTTGTTATTTCAAGATAACAAATGATCATTTTTATGCCATAATATATATTTACATGCCAACATTCAGCTATGAATTATGGTATAAAAAAGCTGCAAAATGCAGAAAATAATGATAAAAAAATTGAATTTACAGCAGAAGAGTTGAAAGCAGAGATAAGGGGGAGCTGTTTATGCTCTCAGAGCAGGGGGAGGGCTCTGGGCTGTGACGTGGAACTGAGAAAACGAAACCAGAAGGGCAGGAAATGGCATTTTGGAGGTTTTTTTGAGTGGAATATGAGTGGAGAAAGGCCTAGAAATGCTCAGGGATTTTCTGTTTTCCCCATGAAACCTCTCTGTGTGCCCTGGGGGTGAAAAAGGCTGGGAAATTTGTTGTTCAGGTTTGTAAGGGATCTAAAGTGATGTGACAATTGGGGAAAAATCATCACAAAAGCACTTTGATTAATGAAATGATGAATGAAATTAATTTTTTTTACCTCTTGATTAAGAACATAATACAGCACATTTTCATTTAGGTGTTGAGTTTTTTGGTTTTGGGATTTTTTTCTCTGTTTTTGGGGTTTTTTGGGGTTTTTTTTTTGTTTTGTTTTGTTTTTGGGTTTTTTTTTGTTTTTGTTTTTTGGGATTTTTTTTGTTCTTTTGGGGCTTTTTGGTTTTTTCTTTTGTTTTGGTTATTTTCAGTCTTGTTTTTTTTTTTCTTTGTTTAAATTCAGTGAGTGGGATTGATTTGGGGTTTGTAATCTGATATTTTTGCCAGCAGGTGACTGAGACCCAGCCAGCAGAAGGCAAAGTTTCCACGCTGGAGCTGCCTCTGAGTGAGTTTTTTTTTCTTTTATCAAATCACAGCCACCTCTTCCTCTTCTGTTGCCATAATTCACAACCAAAATCACATTTCCTCTTATTTTCACAACAAACAATCCTCTTTTACTCATTTTTTTTGTCACTTCTGTGTTTCTCTCTGAATTCCTGGCTGCTTTTGTGATTTGAATCTGTCTGAATTCAGAATTGAAACTGAAACTAAAAAGCAAAAGTTGAGTCACAGAGTGGAAATCTTAGAAATTTCCCTCCTCCTGAGCCATCATCTGAAARGATCAGAATTTAAGAAAGTGAATATTTACAATTTATTTGTGGATATTTACAATTAATATGTGGAAAATTAAATAATATCTACAATTAATTTGTGGATAATTAAATAATTCTGCAAGTGAAAAGGAAAGGAACCACAAAATATTGGGCAGGGTGGATTTTTAGCTGCAGGCTTTCAGAGTTAAGTGTGATTTCCTGATCATGTTTAGGGCTTTTTTTTAAAAAAAAAATCATTTTATAGAGAAAAGTCCCACCCCACAGAACTCCCCCCGTGTCTGAGTTTCTTTTCTGCACTAAAAATGAAATGCAGGCAGTTCTGAGCCTCAAAAGGAARTATTTTCCTCATTTTTCCTTGGGGTTTTTATCAGTTCTTTCATTTGTGTGAAGCTTTTGGTGCCTGTTCCTGGGTATTTTTCAATCCATCACCTGAAAATGTGATTTTTGGGAAACCCCTGCAGGTGAAATATTTTTAAATAAATATTGTGAAATATTTTTAAATGAGGTGTGAAAAAAGTGATCCAGTTCTGCTGAGCTCTGGCCACCCGTGGATGTTTTGGAGGATTGAAGGATTTTTTGGGAATTGGAAAATGTGGGGAAGTTTGCACGGGAAAAGTCGAGGTGTTTTTGTTGGGAAGATGTGGAGTGCTGGGAAAAAAAATGAAGATTTTTCTTCTTTTGTGAAGACAGGCTGGGAGAGTTGGGATTGTTSAGCCTGGAAAAGTTTTTGGGGAGATTTGGGTGGGATTTGGGGCAGGAATTGTTCCCTGGGAGGGTGGGGAGGCCCTGCCTTTCCAAATCCCTTCTCCAGGATTTGGTTTAGGGCCAGACTTGRTTTGTGCCCAAGGGTTCCATCTTTTATGTGAGTTTGTCCCTCAGATAAAGGATGGCAAACCCAATATATTCATTTATTTAGGGGAAATAAATCCTGAATTTCAGTTAGTGGTGGTATAGATCAGAGTCAAAATTCCTCAAAATCCCCTGGAATTCCCCCGAAAAATTCCCCCTTAAAATTCCCCTTCAAAATTCCCCCCCAAATTCCCCTGAAAAATTCTCCCTAAAATCAACCTGGGAAGCCCAAAATTCCCCCAAATTCCTCAAAATTCCCCCAGATTCCCTCTATATAAATTGATTACCCTTTATCAGTGGTGATCACTGATCAGACAATGCTTTCTGATGATTTTTGTTCACCTGGAGCACAAAACGCTGTGCTCCTAAAAATTCTTCCTAAAATCCCCCAAAAAATTCTCCCCCAAAATTCTCTCAAAATTCCCCCAAATTCCCCCCAAAATTCCCCAAAATTCCCCCAAATTTTCCCCTGAGAAATTCCCCCAAATTCCTCAGATTTTCCCCAAATTGCCACCCAAAATTCCTCACAAAATTTCCCAAGATTCCCCCTCAAATTCCCCCCAAATCAGTTGATTACCCTTTATCAGTGGTGATCACTGATCAGGCAGTGGTTTAAGATGATTTTTGTTCACCTGGAGCACAGAACGCTGTGCTCCTAAAAATTCTCCCTAAAATCACCCAAAAAATTCCCCAAAAAATTCTCTCAAAATTCCTCACAAAATTYCCCAAAATTYCCCAAAATTCCCCCAAAATGTCCCAAAATTCCCCCAAATTTTCCCTCAAAAATTCCCCCAAATTGCTCAGATTTTCCCCAAATTGCCCCCCAAAATTCCTCACAAAATTTCCTCAAAATTCCCCCAAATTCCCCCAAAAAATTCCCCCAAATTCCCCCCAAATCAATTGATTGCCCACTCTCAGTGGTGATCACTGATCAGGCAATGGTTTTTGATGATTTTTGTTCACTTAGAACACTGCAGGGATCTCTCACCCTGAGTTTCTTGGGGTCTGTCCAGACCTCGGGGCTGCTTTGTAGGGTTTGGGGTCCTAAAGAGCAGTGCTGGGTTTTGCTCATCTTCGTTCCTACAATATCTTATTTGTGTGATTAATAAATGACATCTTGATTAAACCTGGCTTTCCCTGAGCCAGASCATGAGTTCACAGTTACTGGGAACTCCTTGGTCCCCTGTATCAATCCCCCCTTTTCTATAGGGTTGGTCAATTATTTTAACTCCTTAGTCCCCTATATCAATCTCCCCTTTTCTATAGGGTTAGTCAATTCTTTTAGCTCCTTAGTCCCCTATATAAATTCCCCTTTTCCTGTAGGATTAGTAAATTCCTTTAACTCCTTAGTCCCCTATATCAATCTATGGGGTTACTTAATTATTTTACTATTAACTCCTCAGTCCCYGATATCAATCCCCTCTTTTCTATTTACTAGGGTTAGTAAATTTTTTTACTATTAACACCTTAACCCCCTATATSAATCCCCCTTTTCTATAGGGTCAGTCAGTTCTTTTACTAAAACACAAATTCTTCCTCTGAAAAGCTTCTATGATAATTATCCCTTAATGCTTTCCAGTGTGCATTTGATAAGGTTATCAAAACTGATAACTTCCTTATCACCCTACAATTTCTAAAGTTACAAATACAAAAATGAGAATAATTAGAATAATAATAATTGGAATAAATAGAATACTAAAAATTATAATAATAAGAAGAAGAATAACTAGAATAATTGGAATAGTTGGAATAATAATAATTAGAATAGTTGGAATAATAATAATTAGAATGAATAGAATAATAATTAGAATAAATAGAATAATAATAAACAAATAATTAGAATAATAATAAGAATAATTGGAATAATAATTAGAATAAATAGAATAATAATAAAGAAATAAATGGAATAATAATAATTAGAAAATTTGGAATAATTATTAGAATAAAAATTAGCATAATTGGAATAATAATAATTATAATAATAATAGCAATAATAATAAATTAGAATAATTGGAATAATAATAATTAGAATAGTTCCTAGAGCCTACATCTATATTTCTACTAGCTAGCATCACAAAAGCACACCCAGCCCTGTCCTATAAATATTAGGACAGTCCTTGGGGTTGTGTCGGGGTCAATCTGCCCAAATTCCATGTCAAGACATGGATTGTACTGCCCTCACAAATAAATACTAATTTACAATAAATTCCGGGTAATGCAGGGTTCCAAATTGACATTTTGCCATTTTTTTCTGCTTTCTCTCTGTGCTCAGTGGGGTAAAAAACCTTTCCCTCGTGGTTTGATCCCAGTGGGATCAAATGGGGTGTGGAACAGCAATTGTAGCATTCATTTTCCCTTCCAGGACCTAAAGTGGCTGCAGGAGAGCTGGAGGGGGATTTGGGATAAGGGATGGAGGGACAGGAATGGCCTGGAGCTGAGGAGGGGATGCTGAAATCATCCAAAAATACTTTTCTGGCCCAATTTGGGACACCCCGAGGCTGCACCAGCAACTCCCTGGAATTATTCCTGAGCATTTTCCTCTTCTGGAAATCCTTTTGTTTGGGGTCTTGTCACGATCTGCTTAACTCAAGCGAGARTCGTGAGGGTTCGTTATCAGAATCTCAGAGTGCAAAAGAAAACGAGGGGCAAATATATATGCTTTAAATAATCAAGAAYAATTTATTTGGATATTTTGCGATAGAGGAGGGTGAGAGAGAGAGGGTGGGGTTATAGCTATCAATGGCTCAGACGAATCCTCCGAAGTTCCATGGGTTCGCCAGCATCCGTCGGGRGAGATCTCTATCGGGGTCTTCTCGGRGAGACTTTTTATAGTCTTTTTTAAAGTGAGTGGCTGCAAGCCAGGGGAGGGGTTGTGAAGCATGAGCTGGAAATCTGGCTCCACCTTGATCTGGCTCGGACTCCTTTTGAAAGTGGGTGGCAGCAAGTCAGGGGGTTGTGAAGCATGGAAACCTGATGGAAACTTGTGGAGCATGGAGAAGATCGGCCGAGCAGTGGGGAGAGAATGTCCATCCACGAGGTCGCAACGCTCTCTTTAAACAGCACAGCCATCCATGGTGGACACGTTGTACCTGCCAGCCTAGGAGCTGGAAATCTGGCAGTCACCCCACCTTGATCAGGCTCGGACTCCTTTAAGCAAAGAGTCCCCCTTTTCTTCCCCTCGGGGTTCTCCTTTTTGGGGTGTTCAGTCTCAATGATCGTGAGACAGTCAAGGATCTTTAGTCGGTCTCTTACAGGTCTAAAGGGGTCTGTGGGGTTTGGATTGCCTGAAATCCCCCAGTCTTCCCTCTGGAAATCCTTTTGTGCTCCTGGAGTCCAAAGGGGTCTGTGGGGTTTGGATTCCTTGAAATCCCCCAATTTTCCCTCTGGAAAGCCTTTCGTTCGAGATCTAAAGGGGTCTGTGGGGTTTGGATGCTGGAAATCCTTTTGTGCTCTTGGGGTCTAAAAGGGTCTGTGGGGTTTGGATTCCCTGAAATTCCCCAACCTTCCCTCTGGAAATCCTTTTGTTTGGGGTCTAAAAGGGTCTGTGGGGTTTGGATGCTGGAAATCCTTTTGTTCAGGGTCTAAAGGAGATTGTGGGGTTTGAATTCTCTGAAATCCCCCAGTCTTCCCTCTTCTGGAAATCCTTTCATGCTCTAAAGGGATCTGTGGGGTTTGGATTCCCTGAAATCCCCCAATCTTCCCTCTGGAAATCCTTTTGTGCTCCTGGAGTTTAAAAGGGCCTCTGTGGTTTGGATGCTGGAAATCCTTTTGTTTTGGGTCTAAAGGGATCTGTGAGTTTGGATTCTTTGAGATCCCCAACCTTCCCTCTGGAAATCCTTTTGTGCTCCTGGAGTTTAAAAGGGTCTGTGGGATTGGGATGCTGGAAATCCTTTTGTTTGGGATCTAAAGGGGTCTGTGGGGTTTGGATTCTCTGAGATCCCCCCAACCTTCCCTCTGGAAATCCTTTTGTTTGGGGTCTAAAGGGGTCTGTGGGGTTTGGATTCCCAACCTTCCCTTGAGCCCTTCAAGGGCTGTTTGCTGTTGGGTTTTTTTTACCCAATTTTGCCCCAAAGCCCCCAAATCCCTCATTATCTGTCCCTGCCCCATTCCCAGCTAGTTTCACCATCCTATTTCGGGGTTTTTATCTCTTTTTTTCACGTTTTCTCCCGGCCCTTATCCAGCAGCTCCAGGAAATGACTCTCCTTTACTCTGTCACGGGACAGGATGGAATTTAAACAATAAATTGGGAATTCTGCCCAGTGAGGCGGTGCCAGCCTGGCCAGAGGGGTGGGGAAGGGCAGGATGGCTGATTTTTGGGGGAATTTTAGGGGAATTTTGGGGAAATTGAGGAAGGAAAAGGGATAATTTTAGGGCAGCACCGACAATTCCAGCGCAGAAACACCGCAAGACCGCAGGCCGCACTGGACGCAGCAATTTCAAACAGCTCGTTCYGTGACTTATTTTTAAATTAGTTTTAAATTTTTTTACTTTATTTTCAGTTTCTCTTCTCCCTTCCTCCTCCCCCGCGTTGTGCAGAGCAAAATATTTGATTTGAAGGGAGGAGGAAGAGGAGGAGGAGGCTCCCAGTGACCACAAGGCCCCACTTTCCCTGTGGGTGGGGAGCAAAAACCATTTTTTTTCCCCTCTTCGCTTTGTTCACTGAGCTTGCAGGAGTTTTCATGGCAAGGAACTTCATGCCCCGTTATATTATCGTAAATTTACTGGCCTTTTTAATTTATTTTTCCCTCTACTTCCTGCCTTTTGTCTTCATGTTCTGCTTTTTTGAGCTGCTCTGTGTTTTTATTAAATATCTTTGGTCCCTCCTCACGGAAAGTGTTAAGAAAAGTCACACCCCTACTAATATTTTTCAGTGTTTCTGGGGTAAGTAAATCGTGTTTGCTGTTGAATTTAATACATTTCCTTCAGTATTTTAACCAAATCAAGATTTGCTTGTTGCCTTTATTTAACTTTTTAAAAATTTATTCTGAATTTCAAGCGTTTTAATCAGCATTTTGAGTCAGGTGTTGCACGGGAAGAGTTGTTTCTGAGGGAAATCGTTTCTGCAGTAATTTGCGTTGAATGGCTCTTGAAATCAGATCAATAAGTGAAAATATTAATTGATTAATTGATTAATTCCTTCCTTTCTTGGTGAAATGGTTTCTTTCCTCTCCACTAACATTTTTTTGAGAGTTTTGTTGGTTCTTAAAGGGAAAGTAACACAAAACGAAGCAAAGTGAAATATTTCAGCCTCTGGGTGGTTAAATGGTGATGGGCAGSAAGGGTTTTTTGGCTTTCAGGAGGATTCTTGTTTTCCATCATTGAAATATCATTGAAATTCCTTGTTTTCCATCATTGAAATAACATTTTTAACAGGAATTTGTGGTGATTTTTAGTGTAGTGATTTTGGAGTTTTTATGTGTTCCAGCAGATCTCCACTCAAGGAATGGTTCATGAAATWATTCTGAGCTTGTTCAGTCCTCGTGCCTCTCAATTTTTTTTTTGGCTGATTAATTGAAATTTTAAGTCTTTGAGTAGCTTTTAATGTGAAAAAGCTCCTGGCACAAGGCCTGGAGTGCCCATGGGTGTGATTAAACCTGAGGAATGTTGTGGGACACCTCCCCTGCCTGCAGGGAGAGCGCTCAGGGCTGGGTTTTTATTTTTCCACGGTTGGTGTCTCTCAGTATTTTGTGTTTCAAATACTCTGGGTATCATTTTTCAGCACAGACGGTCACTAAAACTTCATTTATGGCATTAAGAACTCCTCCTCCTTTCAAATTTGATTTTCTGGTCATTGAGCATCACAATAAACCAGAATTTCAATCCAGGATTTTTTTCCTGTGGTTGTGTCCAATTAAAAAAKAAGATTTTGCAGTTAATGGCAGGAATTCCTTGGTCTGACCATCATAATAAGGAATTAACYGAGAGAATTAAATCATGTTTTCTTCCTCCTCTGTTTTTCCAATAGCTGTACCAAATAAATAAAGGAAGATTTTGCAGTTAAACCAGGAATTCCTGGGTCTGACCTCACAATAAAGAATTAAATTTTTTCCTCCTCTGTTTTTACAATGGCTGTACCCAATAAAAAATAAGACTTTGCAGTTAAAAGAAGGAATTGCCGGCTCTGACCATCACAATAAAAAAATTAAATCATATTTTCTTCCCCCTCTGTTTTTCCAATGGTTGTACCCAATTAAAAAGATTTTTGCAGTTAGTGGCAGGAATTCCCGGGTGTGACCATCATGATAAAGAATTAAATCTAAAGAATTAAATCTTATTTTCTTGCTCCTCTGTTTTTCAATGGCTGTACCCAATAAAAAATAAGATCCTGCAGTTAAAAGCAGGAATTYCTTGGTCTGACCATCACAATAAAGAATTAAATMATATTTTCTTCCTCCTTGTTTCCCCAGTAACTGTTGCACAACAGGGTGGATCCCTGGATCTTCACTTTGTGGGAAGTGTTTGAGGTGGATTTTGAGAGTGAAAAGGGAATTGGTCTCAGTGAGAAGTCCTTGTTTTGRGGATTTCCCCCCTGTCCTGTTCATTTCTGTGTGACCAGGGCCATCTGCCTGTTTGTTGGCACTTGGGATCAACAGGGGTCAAAATTAAATTAAATTAATTGAACTCTGGGGTTTTGGAGYGGCAAATTCTTCCTCATCACTTTATCCAAGAAAATTTGAATTTCCACAGGGATCCTTTATTCCCTTCAAAAATTTTGGTTGKTCTCTGATAGAATCACAAAAAAAMAATCCCAAAAACCCMAAACAATTGTAAGAAAAATCTATAAAATATTGCATTGTTATTTTATAATATATTGCATAATGTACAATGAGTATTATAATATACAATACATAATTTTATAATAATACATATATGATAATATATAAAACAATAATTATATATATAAGAGATAAAATAATAATATCAATAAAATTATAATCATAAATCCCACATTTCTGCTTTTATAGCACAGACTGATTTCTTTAGCTTGGAGTCCACTTTAATAATTCCCATTTTGTGAGTCCATTTGAATAATTTCAATTTCATGAGTCCACTCTGATAATTCCCATTTTGTGAGTCCACGTCAATAATTTCAATTTTGAGTCCAACTTAATATTCCCATTTTATGAGTCCACTTCAATAATTCCAATTTGTGAGTACATTTAAATAATTTAAATTTTGTGTGTCCACTCTAATAATTCCGATTTTGTGAGTCTACTTTAATAACTTCCATTTTGTGAGTCCATTTGAATAATTGCAATTTTGTGAGTCCACTCTAATAATTCGAATCTTGTGAGTCCACTTTAATAATTTATCCACTTCAATAATTCCCATTTTCTGAGTCCACTGTAATAATTCCAATTTTGTGCAGATAGATCATACCTTGCAGGATTTTAACATTCCTCTATTTATTTGGAGCACCTTTCCCCTTTAGAGGATTAATAAAATCCTGTTCTCTTGAACAAAACTAACACCAAATTCATAATATTACCAATTTTTGGTTGTGTTGGTTTTGACCTTGACAGTTTTTAAGATTTCCAATCTATTGAGCAAAATGTGAGTTCCAAATGCATTTTTTTGCTTGTTTTAATCAATGATCATTTTATTTAAAATCCTTTTTTTTCCATTACAGACCAAAGTCAGCAAAACAAACGAAAGCCAAAACCCAAAACTTGCGATCATGAAAAGATGAGGTAAGAAATACTTTTTATTTTTAAATTTACTATTATTTGGAGTTATTTATGTAGCATTAATGTCACTTGGATGTGCTGTTTGTCACTGATGGTTTTGACTTTAATGTGTCCTGATTTTACAGATATTGTTTTATATCCCGGTATCTAGATAAAATCCCCAGAATCCCAGCTTTTACCAAGAACAAGGGTTACAATTTAAATATTAAATAAATTCTCATCAATTTAATATTAAATAAATTCTGGAAACATGAATATCCTCCATTATTAGTGTTGGGAAGAAGTCGCGGGAGACAAACCTCAAGTTTTCATGATCAGCAAGCCTCAATTTTATTTGGGAATCTTTGCATTTTTATAATCAACATAATAAGCTCATACATATTGCACAAGCATAGCTCATTATTGGATAGTACAATAATAGTTAATCCCACCCCTATGTGCCTACTTGCGGTTAGATTTCTTCATACTTCTGCTGATGTTGCYTTTTCCWWTAATAACAGTTAGCCCCCCATATTGCGACAACAGTTAGTCACCCATCYTGCAAAAGCTCCCTYGTGTATGCCTTGYGGTTRCATCTTCCTATTCTTATGCTTTATTTATCTTTGTTAATCCTTCCTGATGTCTAGCTCAATTCTAGCACATTCAGCTGAATTTCTTCATGCCCTCCTTTGCTAAACAACCATTCTTCTATATCATYATTAATACTTTTATTCCTAACATTTTAGGAAATGAGGGCATAATTGGAATATTTTTTGTTCAGAGTTGATCCCCAGAAGCTGAGGGATAATGTGAATTTTGTACCTTTGTTACACCCAAAGTCACCCCACAACTCCCTCTTATCTCGTTCCCAAGGCCTCTCTGCACCAAATAATTCCTAAAACTTTTCTGAGGCTTGCAGAACTCACAGAAAAAGATGAAATCTTGTTTTTAAATCAGTCTCAGGTTTGATTACAAGAATAAAACTTTATTTGGAGTCCTTCAGTTGTTGGCTGGCTCCAATTTTCCCTCAATATTTGATTTTAAGTCTGTTCATTTTCTCCCTGGGGAGCAAAAATGTGAATTATTGGTGAATTATTTGGGGCCAAAATTCAGGGAGTTCAGATTGATTTTGCTCGAGGTTTTCTGGATAATATTTGTATATAATATAATATTTCCATTGAAATTTTGGGAGGGGAAATCATMGTTTCTGGTGGTACTCCAGAGGTTTTGGGTTGTGTTTAGGATGGTCCTAAATAGGAAAATCTGATGTTCATGTGGAAATTTGGGAAGTCTCCATTCAGAGGGAATTTTTCCAAGGCAGATTTCTGGTGCAGACGAACCCAAACCTTCAGGAAATCTGMTTATTCCCATCCTAACCTGAGAGCAGCCACAAAACCAAATTTATTTTAATCAGTGTTTATTTCAAATTCTGTTGTTTTTCCATAACTTTTTAAATATCACTGACAACTGAAACAGGAGAGGTCACTGCTGCCATTTCACTGAATTATCACTGGATTCCTTTCCCTTTCTTTGAGGAGAAATATTAAATATTTCATGTTAAATATTTTTRAATGTTATCATTTACTCTGGAACAAATCCTTTTAAAAGCAGCTGAACCATCTCCAAAATTATTTCTCTGCTGGAGGACTTGACCAGACCTGTGAAAAATCACATTTTCCTGAAAATAAATTAAGATTTAAATGCCATTGTGCATTTAAATATCCCTGTCCTGATTTTTTGCAGAGATCACTTGGATTTGAAAAAAGAAGAGTCTAAAGCTGTGGAGAATAAAAACTTTTGTGCTGTGCCCGAGGTAATGAGAGTTAGAAATTCCTCCAGTGGAAATTATTTGGTCATTTTTTTAGGAGAATTGTTCAAAATCTTGGTTTATTTAAATTAAATTAAATTTGACCTTGGTTTATTTTGTTTAATTTAGTTATTAATTTAATTAAATGTCACATTTTGTGCTGTGCATGGCTTTTAGCAGAGGCAGAAATTCCGTGGTTACGCTTTATTTATTCTGATTTATTCTATCCTGGGAATCAAAATTTTCTTTTTATTTCTCTTTCTTCCCCTGCTGTAAAACCTGGAATTATCAGGGATTTATAAATCCCAAATTTCTGCCTGAATATTTTCTTGGAAATAACCACACAGCATTTTGTGGAATGGCTCTTTGAACCACTCAAAAATTCATAAATTGAGGGAGAATTCTCCTTCTCTGATCTTAACACCAATAAATTCTTGAAGGAAATCATGGGAATGCACGTAATTAACCTTTTTAATTAATTAATTAAATAATCATCCCTGTTAATTAATTGGGGGATGGAGATACCAGAAATCTCTATTCTGATTAATTATCTCACAGAACAAATCTGAATTTACGAGCATTTAGGAGAAAAGTGCAGTTTTGACCTGCACTAAACCCCCTTATTTCCTATAAAAAACCTATTTTTGTTTTGATAACTCATTACTGATGTTAAAAGGAATATTTTAATTAATTTAATTAATTTTAATTCATTTAATCTGCTTCATTTATCATGAAAATTACCATTAAACTATATAAATATTAAATTATTATAAATATAATTTCTATTATAATGTTAGAAATATAATTTTAATACAATTCTATTCTGTAATTTCATGGGACAGTTTAACCAAGCAGTTTTAGAAAATTCAAATAAATCTGAATTATTTCCAGTCTCCCTGCTGGAAACTCCTGCAGATTTCAGGAAGTTTTAATAGTGAAAATATGATTTTAGAACTTAATATAGTAAAAGAATTGATTTTGAAACCTGGCAGCATGAACTGAGCTGSACACAAAGTGTTGCAGAAGGAAAAAATTCCCAGCTTTTCCCAAAATATTTGGATACAAAATGGGAGTGTGAAAGCCAGGAAAACCAGTTTGGGTTGTGCTTTTGGGGTTTTATTTAAATATTAAATATTAAAATATTGCATTTTTTAATGTAAAAAGAGTAAAAATGATGCTTGAAAGGTGCAGCTTTCTGGAGGGAAATTCAGAATAAAAACTGGATTTTTTTTTTCATTTTCCATGAAAACGTAATTTAAGAATTTTACAAAAATGCATCTCCTTTGCTGCTTGAAAGGTGAAATTATGGGGAAACAATTCAGGAAGAGGCAGAGAATTTCCACTTTGAGAAGTATTTGAGCAAATATTTCTTTTCCAAATTAAGTATTTTGTTTACTTAGTAATGAAAAAAAAAAAAAGAAAATTTTGTTTTCTTCTCCTTACTGTGTTTTTTATCATTTTAGGGACATTTCAGTGCCTTGGCAGGTGGGAAATCCCCAGGGCTGGAAGGCGGCGCCACCACCATGGTCCAGGAA